TGAGTCAGCTCGTCCGCCCTTTCGTTGGCCCCTATTCCGCAGTGCGCTGGCACCCAAATCAAGCTTACCTTATTAGACTCACCCACGGTGGTATAGACTGGTGATACGGCGAGCGCGTGTCTGCAATTCTTTGATAAAAAAAATCGACGGACGTAGCATGTGGCATGAGAGTATTATCAACGGTTTTTAACAAATTAAACACATCAGAATTTGGATGATTTAATCCACCCCGTGATTTTAACATAGTAAAATGCGCGTCTGATGCATTTTATGAAGGTAACAATTCTAAATTCAACAAATGAAGGCAGTTTATAATTACTTGTAGGTGAGCGCGCGTTAGATTCAATAATACTGAATGGACGGAATGTGCTTTCTCGCTCTCGGGTGCTCCTTTTCTAATAGGTCGGTACTCGTGCGACAGATTTCCGTGTGCTCTTAATGCTTCGCCGGCTCACTAGTCTATACCACCGTGGACTCACCTAATCTATCTAGAGTTCGTCTGCAATCAACCGCCACCTGACTATCGCTGCATGTATATATGCGCTTATTACGGTAACCTCTATGGAGTTTTTCCTGTGCACAGGTCATGATGGCTAACATCTCTGCCTGAAACACGGTGCAATGCTGACCAAGGGAGATGCTGACGCTAGCTCTCGGTCGATCACCATATATACCCATGCCCGTTCCCCTTCCTGTTATTGACCCGTCTGTAAACCACACGAGCCGCTCAGGTTTGAGGAACGGGCAATCCGAGTTCAGCCACTGCTCCCTATCCGGGAGGCGTATTGGCATTCTGTACTATTATTCAGAGCAGCTCTGGTCTGATTCGCAGTATACTATGGCTTCACATTATGCGCAATTTGATAATACATTATATACTGCGATTCAGAGCACCACTTTATAACGCTTTGGTCTTAGCAAAATAGCCCGGATCACATCCCTTTTTGCGAGGAGGGGATCGGTTGTGAGGGTTTCCTCCCAGATCCGCCCGTGCCCAGGGCTGCCTCGATCCTCGTCCCAATCATTTAGCCGTATGGAAGCTATCCGAGCCTCTGCCTCCACAGATAAGTGTAAAGGCTCTAGTCCCAGAAGTGCCTCCATGGCCAAGGTTGGCGTGGTTTTTAGGGCTCCAGTGACTCCCAGACAGGCGAGTCGCTAGACCTTTCCTAGCTGCTTCCTGTAGGTTGCCCTGCTGATCCGCTCTCCTTCTATTCGTAAATGAAACAACCTCGGTCTTTTCCGGGTTAACGGGAAGACCATGGGTGCTGCACCACCTATCCACCTGTTGAAGTGCCCCCTGCATGAGCTCTTTCACGGTGTTTGGAAACCTCCCAGTTATGACCATCGCGAGATCGTCCGCGTATCCCTGTGTATACGCTCCCTCCTCGTTCAAGGTGCGGAGGAGCCCGTCTAGTACCAGGCACCACAGCAGTGGAGACAGCACTCCACCCTGCGGACATCCTCTAGTAACCGATGAGCTCCTCTCCGTCATTCCAATTGAGGATATAATGACTCTGCTTTCGAGCATGGCTCGGATCCATCTTACGATCGACCCATCAATACCAAAGTTCTCAGCAGCCTCACTAATCGAGTCGAACGTGGTGTTGTTAAACGCACCCTTGATATCTAAAAACGCTCCCAGAGCTATCCCCCCGTAAGGCATTCCCTTTTCCAGCCTGCACACCAGGCTGTGTAGAGCCGTCTCCGTGGACATACCAGCCCTGTAAGCATGTTGGAACGGATGTAGTGGTCTACTAACCAGTACGCCATTCCTAATGTATGCATCCACCAGCTTCTCCACCGTTTTTAGAAGAAACGATGATAGGCTGATGGGCCTATAGTCCTTCGCCACGTCATATTTAGCACGACCCGGCTTAGGTAGGTACACAACTCTTACCTTCCTCCAGCTTTCGGGGATATACCCTAAAGCCAGAGAGGCTCTGAAGAGATGCAACAAGTGTAAGAGCAGCGGATCCAGGCCCTTCTGTAGAAGAGCCGGGAATATCCCATCCGGTCCTGCACTCTTAAATGGGCTGAACGTGTTGACCGCCCATCTCAGAGATCCCTCGGTAACCACCCGGGAAGCTACCTTCCAGTTGATCGGCCTTACACCGACCCGAGTAGCTCCTTTTGGTGGGTCCGAAGTTAAGTAGTCCCCAGAGCCTGGAAAGTGTGTTTCCAGGAGACATGTGAGAGCCTCACCCGCGGTAGACGTATATCTGCCGCATGGAAGCCTCAGTGTCCCCACCTTTGGGCAAAGTGCCCCGGGTCCTTCAAAAGGATCTTACGAAGTTTTTGAACTTCAGGAAGACCTTCTATGTTACCACAGAAGGTCCTCCAAGATCCTCGTTTCGACCTCCGAATATGGTCCTTATACCTGCGCCGGGAGATCTTAAGATCTTCCCAGTCCGCAGGTAACTTAGTTCGCATGGCCCTATTAAAGAGCCTGCGAACCTCCTTACGAGCCTTTTCGAGGTCTGAGTTCCATCAAGGTGTTCTCTTCTTTCCTCGAAAGGTACGCAGTTTACAGCTATCCTCATAGGACGATGGTATGGCGTCGCTTACTAATGCGGCCGCCTCTTCCACCTGCCCTGCTTTCCGACAGAGCAAAGGTGGTCTATCCAACCGGTCCGACAGTTTTGCCACATAGCAGTGCCAGTCAGCGGATTGAGGGTTCCGAGACCTACAGGGCCCGCAGTGAAATGCCAGGTTCAGTTGGAAAAGAATGTGCCTGTGGTCCGAAAGCGACGGCTCATCAGACACTCTCCAATTCGTGATCATGTGAGCTATTGAAAAGGAGCCCAGCGTCAGACCAATGACCTCCTGCCTCCGTGCTGTGACAAAGTTAGGGGCTGCTCCCTGATTTAAAACATTCAAATCAGTTGTTTGCAAGTACTCCAGAAGGTGGTCGCTCCTCAAGTTCGTGTCCGTGCAGGGGTTAAATTTGATTTTATTCTATGTCTATGTATCAAATTTCATTTAAATGCTTTCATAAATAATAAAGTTGGCACTGCGCATGCGCAAAACCAAATTTTGATCCTGGTGTTAGATAGATTTTCTATTATTCCAAGAACCTACGTATCAAATTTACCAATTTAAATAATTGTTGCGTTACTTGTATTGATGGTGCACTTTGACGTCCTTCCGTCTGTCTGTCATACGTACTCCTTCTAAACCACTGAACCAATTTTGGCGATATAGGACTCATTTGAAAGGGCTCGGTCCAAGGATTCCGTGTATACCCATATTTTTAGGTTTGGGCATGCGCAGTGGCAAAAATTTGGTTTTACGCGTGCAATGCTAACTTTTTTATTTATGAAGATAATTAAATGAAACTTTATATGTAAACACTACGAATATAACTAAAATTAACGACGTTTTCAAAATGTTATGTTGCGCATGCGCAATGCCAACTTTCTTATTTATGAAGGCATTTAAATGAAATTTTATACATAGGCACTTGGAATACAAGCAAATCTGCCACCAGTTTTAAAATTTGGTTTTGCGCACGCGCAATGGCAACTTTCTTATTTATGAAAGCAGTTAAACGAAATATCATATGTAGGCACCTTGAATGAAACAAACTAATACCAGTTTCAAAATTACTGTTAACGCATGGTGTATGTTTTATTTATGAAGGTATTCAATCAAATTTCTAATGTAGACAATGCGCAATGCTATTTACGAAAGCATTTATAAAAAGTTCTATACCTATGTAGACACTTCGGATAAAAGTAAAACTAAAACCCATTTTAAAATTTGTATGTATTTGTATACGCTCCACTATTTTTCAATAAACTGTATAGACTTCGACGATAGGCGGCCCATTTGAAAGAGAATGGAGTAAGGATCTCATGCCTACCGGTATTTTTTCCTGGTCCTAGCATTTATATTATTAGGAGGAAAATACGCTCTCGCCATTTATGTTTGCATAATGACTTTTTAAACTTGTCTTGTAGATGGGTGTATTTTATCTAAGCTTAACATTTGTAAATTTTGGGGTATGGTTTTTGATAGCACTAAAAATAATGGGAACTAATAACAGTAGATCTCATTCTTCATTATACCTTAAGTTCTGAAGCTATATCAGTGCTTTTCCGGTCTCTTTCTGCATGCGTTATAGTCAAGTTGTTAGTGATGGGAATGGCATTGTTTATTATGTACCTACATGGTTTTTTGTGTTTTATCTATTAAGTGTAATGTCTGGTCTATTAAATAGCCTTGTCTGTGAGTAGTGTCCTATCCCAATATAATTTATGGGTGTGGTTTTCAAGTATTATTTGTGGTTTATTTATTTATTAGATTAGCAGCCAACAGCAATTACCAATAACAGGCTACATTTTAAGTACATACATCAAACTAAAAATCAAAATAATGTAAGTGCCAGTACAATTAACTTAAAATGAAAACAAATTGGTTTTGGGTAATAATATTAATAAAAAGAAGAAAGAAGTGTAAAAGTAACAGTCATTATAACAGTAACAATATAATAGTAAAAAGAATAACAGGTTTAATAAGAGTAAAATTAAATGTTAGTTCTGCCTACGGACTGGAGTAGCATAAGGTTACGATGTAACTAAAGGTAGAATTTTAATTTGTTTATAAAACGATTTTTGGGTTGAACGATGTTCAAGTCAACACGATTCACGTATTTACTCATGCGATACAATGGTGGTTGCAGAAGCACATTGGTTCTAGCTAACGATAGATAAAAGGTTTGGTGATTCCAGGTGTTGGTACGTGGTACTTTAAGCATTGCTTTGTTTGATACCTACCTTTATGTCATACTCATACTTCTAAGGCAATGCAAATTGCGTCCGTAGATTGCGTGTTAAAGGTATTTAATGGGCGAAAGTAGAGTTGTTATGGGAAATAATATCCGCAACGAAACAAAATGTTATTTGCCGAGAGCACTCCACCACGTACCTGGAAGCAAAATTGTTATATGGTTAATAGGTAAGTGTAACAAAGTTATGAATTAATTTATTGAAATTCCCGAAATATGTTTTTCTCCCTTTGGTGGTGTTTTAAAACGTCTAAATGAGACACACAATAATAATTTACGACCAGTATCTTGACACGCGTGACAATATATGAGTGGGTCGGAATCCTGGTCGGAATCGACGAATTTTTCTAATGCCTTTATTTTTACATTTCATTTGACGACTTTAATTATGATAATTCCAACCCACCAAGACTAGACTAATATAATTTGATTCATATCATGATTAAGAAAAACATAATTATGCAGAAAGAGGCTTCTTAATGTGATTGCAATGAATAATTTTCAATGGTGATTGTTAAACATAACCAATTGAGATTTTATAGTGGGAATTGCATCAAACAAATCCATGACAAGACCATAATCAGCAACTTTAAAAATTGGAGCGAAAGGGTCGTTGTTGATCGCGACAATAGTTTTACTATCCTTTATTGCCGCGATGTGATACGATTCACCAGATACTCCAATTCCTATGTATACGGCAGGAGCAACACGAATTCCGAATTGTCCTATCTGTATGTCCCTCGGCGCTAATCCCGCGTCTACCGCTGATTTTGTGGCCCCTATTGCCGCATTTAGAATATAACACAATTCATAAAGCTGTTTAAAATTTTCAGCAGTTCGGAGCCCTCTGCCTCCACAAATAACAACGGTTGCATTGTCGAGTGATGGGAGTTTCGATTTCACCCACTTGTTCTTGTGATATTTAGGAACGAGGTGATCACTCTTGCTGATTGGCGCAGGTTCGATTAGAACTTTATCCATTGGATCTTCAAGTAATGGCCCAGGTACTGTAAATAGGGTGTTTAGTGATAATATTCAATCAACATGGAGTACATAAAACGTGCAAAATAAATACATATTTTACAAACTGCCTATAGTAATTGTTTTTCCTTTGCGAATTTGAATATGAAGCCTGTGGGAGTGGCCTAGCGGAAAATTCAACTAAATTAACTGCTAGAAACAGAGACTTGTTATAACTAGACCGCGCGTAACGTACATTTTACTATAAACGCCTGTTGTCAAGATAGGATAGGCAACCAACTGTTCATCGCGGGGCAGACGTACGTTCTGCAGCTTGCTTTAGCATATGTTTATTCTAAATTTTATTTTAGTAGCAAAAAAAGATAACATATAACTGTTAACTGTTTTAATCGAATTTATTGGTATTTTATTTGTACTAAATTGGTATATAACTGCCTTACTCTGGTCCTAATTCGATTTATATGTGTATTTTGGTGGTGAACACGCATGGGAAAATATACTCTTAAAACTAAAGATGTAAGTAGTAAGATATGATTATTTAGCGGATTTTAATTCAATATATGCCTATCCAAAAACCCAAATGGGCTGTAACTGTTATTTATTTTTCTTAGACTGCTGATAACCATTTTGTTTACAACGCGGTGTGGTGTGGATTGAATGAAAAACCTGAACACATTTTCAGCAATTTGGCAAATTTTTAATTCATCGCTTGATACGTGCAACATTCCTCCACGATTTTTTTCTAGTTAAAAGCTTTGAATGACTCTCTGATGCGAATATCGCATCTGCACATATGGAACATTTAACAGACTTTTAGCTATTTTTCTTGTAACAAAACCTGAAATATACTTAGTACCAGTAAGTACTTAGTTACGTCTATACCTAATAGGCAAATAGGTACTGCCGTTATCTGGTAAAGGATGTCGAATAATAGTTCTACGTTATTTTAAGTGAATGGGAAAGTCGAAAACGCTCGGTATTGCGTTATTGTTTAACACCTTCGTAGGTACCTGTCTAAAATAGGCTTCATTCCCCGCAAATGCACTATGGTGGGAGTAAATTTTTCTCTTCGAATGGCTCTGATCCATTGGCCCTTTAAACTTTTATCCGTTGGAAATCTGCATATTATTTAAAATTCTATCTACAGAGTACATGTTGATACGCACGAGTTAACCTAAGTTTATTGGTTTATTCTCAACAGAAATTTATCTGTTCACTAATTCGAGCTAATCACGAGAATAATTAAAGAACGGAACATCTAAAATAACAGCTTATTTCATTATATTGCACATCATCTCTGCGATTTTTGCCCCGCGGTGCATTGTGTGTTGCATACTGTGTCGACAACACCTTAGATACGTTAAGCGCAGTCTAGTTATAGCAAGTCTCTGGCTAGAAAGCTATTTGGTTTGGATTGAAAAAAAATCAAGTTGCTAAGGAATTTGGTCATATAAGCGAATATCTCGTAAGATGGGTTTCAGAGTAGAGACAAACATGATAGACTGCAATCAATTTTAAACCTTAACCCTGCAACAGTTACAGGGTTAAAGAAATGCGTATTTATTTGCCTAACATCTTAATATACCTGAAAGTAATCCTCTTTGATAAATTGCTTCAGCTGCACGGTTTAATTTTAACAGCTCCAACTTTTCAAGCTTATTTGCTTTGTGAGTACAAAGCTTACCTACATGTAAACATCTTTCGAGACGAAGGAATATGTCAGAGAGTCTTCTGTAATCTATAACAATGAACAAAATTATTTGGGTATTGTGTTTATTGTCACATACATGGCGCTCCCGGTACAATGCATACATACATATTATTCTCATTTTAACTCACTCACTCATTTAACATTATTTACGGACTACCTATAGTCATTGGATTAAAAAAAGTCAATGCTATAGTTGAGAAATAGTACCTCACCCTAAGATAATGCACCTTATGAATGGAGTCTATACTTTGTTTCAAGGGTGCTGAACCTTTCGTCACACTATCTGACGTCATAGCAAAATTAAGGCAGGTCGTAAATTAGTAGTTGGTTTACATATTGTCACATTGACGTTTTAACTTATTTATTAAGGTGTCACTATCGTTCATTATTATCAGACCGTCCAAGTTGACAATCACTTGTAAGGCATCTGGTCCTGATAGGTTTTTTCCTGTCCCCAAGTTTTATAATGGCTATATGGTCATGTATTTTATGTAGAGGAACTCCGTTGGTATGAATTAAACTCGAGATGAAACTTTTTCCACCGTTTGTAATCACCTCATGTAACCGATTCTTTGCACCTACAGTCGAAATGGATACTGCCAGAGCATCAGAAACTCTTTGAGATGAAGTGTATGATGGTTACAGAAAACGCATAGGAACATTTGTAACTTAAAGTTTGTCTTTAGGCAGTTCGTAAATTAATATTTTGTTTACATAATGTTGATGTGAAATTAAGTATGCTACCAATGTGAAGAATACGCGTTTTTTTTTATCGCCCTTAAACAAAAGTTCATTAGCCAGCAGCTCATGTGTTTATTTGGACCTAGTCTAAACCTGTACACTTATTGAGAAATGATTTGAGGAACCGGAAAGGAGTGGAATAGGATGTACTCTTCACACCAAGGGGTCTCTCAGGGTGGCTAACGGACAGAACAGGTTAAGTTGCGCGAATTTTAATGATCCTTAACTAGCCATTTGCAGAAGTCGTATAGGCCATGGTTTGTCGGTAGGCCTTTCGCATTTATATATCTTACAAATTTGAGATAAAGCGTAGGCATTATACTCGTACCACAGGCTCATTGAAATAACAAGCATACATACAGTTTCTGTTCTTTTGCCACACACTCGAGATATTCGCATAAGGATCTTGAATATCTTCTGATCCGATTTATTTAAAAAAAACGCAATTGTGAGAGAAAACAGGTAGTGAAGATATTTATTCCTGAAAAAACTCAAATGTTCATATTCAAATCGTATGTACAAAAGAAAAAACGACACTACACCACAAGTATATATGTATAAACGGCCCAAAATAATATTCTTAAACACGCTCATTCTCTTCTGTCTCATGAATATAATCACCATAATAATCTTCGTCACTATCAGATTCGTCCAAGTTGATAATCACAGGTAAGATGTCTGATGTATCAATATGTTGTTCCCGTTCCCAGGCCTGGTTTATAATGCCTCTTGTATGATCAAAATATCTTTTCCATTTTTCCGGTGTAACCTAAACATTAAAGTTATTAAGTACTGTTTCACAAAACAGCATATAAAGAGGTTACTTTGTGCAGTGCCTCATTCCATAAAGACAAAACGGCACTGTGTGTGACAGGCTGAATTGAACCGATCCTTGCATCGTAATGCCGTTTGCATTCTGACCATACCATTTCGATTGGATTATACTCGCAGTCATATGGAGGAAGTCTCAAAACACTGGAAATCTAACGAAAATCGTTTGACGGATTGATATTATTGACAGATCAATAATTGGTTTATTTGTCACGACTTACGTTAATGACGTAATTTTTTTGTCTCAATCGATTTAAATGTAATGAAGAGAGAATCGCATTTATGACGTCAGGTTCAGCACCAGTGAAACAAAGTATATGCATGTGTAAACGTTTCCATTGAGGAGACCATTACCTATGTTGATTTCCAGGCAATGCACAAGTAATTATTCCGTAACATCATAACATGCCTAAACGGTCGCATTTGTGAACTTCGCTAATGGATGATTAATTGGCGTAGTGAATATTGGCATGCATTACAGAATCTAAAGACTGCTTTTTAATGGCACTACGACGGTAATTTAGTACATATTAAAATTTTCAAATGTATCAAATCGTACGACCTGCGCGTTGCGAACTCAATCCAAACACAGTAAACAATCTGTCAGAGCTCGAGAACCGGAAGTCATACGTGCTCTAGCAGCGAAGTCAGACATGTGAAGGAAAATCGAGCACATAAAACAGTAAAAAAAGTACTAGATTGGGAATATCATTAGACGCCACTGATTTTGTTAGACCACCACCGCCACCACGCTATCAAAGCGAGGCGCTTCGCCGTTTGTTTTGTAAATAGTTGAAGCGGAGGATTCTTTTTTCATCATTCGTTCTCTCTCTTATAATAAATATCAATCCGGTCATGAAATTGGATTTCAGTTCTTTTAAACACGAAAAGTCATAAAATTCAAAAATTACACCCAATCGTGTCCAAAACAAAAACTCTATGGTTACTATCATGGTACAATAAGACAAGGTATGCCTATAACTCTTAGACTATGAAAGAGAGGGGACCCGTAATAGAGAGCGCGCGCGTGAAGCAAATTGCGATCATACTGCCACCACCAGTGGCGCCCGCTCGGGTATTACAGTAGGAAATTACAATTTATTTATACTGCCATCATGGTACGATTAACCTGTGTGTACAGTTGTCGGACATAATACCTATTGGGTTCTTATTTGAATAGAGAGACAAAAGACGCGATAAACGTAAACATACGACTCGACTTTGATCGTTTCGGAAACTGGGTGCGCGATATAAACGCAATATTAATTATTATTGAAAGTATACTTACATAAGTATGTAGATATTACCACATACCTATACCTTTAGTAAAATTCTGCACACCCTGTTTTTGAAGCGATCAGAACTGAAAAAGGGTAAATTATAAAAGAGTATAATGTAGGTACGGTATATGTTCCTTATGCTCCAATAACACTTTGCAACACATTTCGCTTTTAATTAATGCACACATCTTTCTGGTGAGGAACCCTGCAACGTATTTAACAATTTGTTCAATATTGCAGAGTTCATGCTTTTTGAACAAACATTTATTGCATATCTTCCAGTTCTATTTCATTGTTCCAATTAATTGAAGCATTAATAATTTGTTCGTTGCTTCCTTGCGACGGACAAGTTATATAGAATAGGGATTGTATCCAGAGGAATACAACTCTCCACCCCACTATCTCACAACTCTGTTGTAATCAGCAAGCGTTTGTAGGTATATGCACTTTCAAACTGCCTTGAGGTGGGGTTGTTATTCTATCCATCCCTTGATCTTTTGGAAGAAGAAAATAATTCCAGATGGTCCTGGCTTATTTTAGGAACCTTCGCAAAAAATACATTGTCATTTCCCTATGGTGCATACTACCTGGGACACATTGAATCTTTTTCTTCCCGATATATCTGCTTGCTTGTGAAGTTAGTGCTTCTGACGTGAATCCTGGGGAACAATTGACTGATTTATACAATTTGCCGATGGTGCACACCAGTATCACACACTGTTCTAACATAATTTTCCCCTTTTGGAGACAGATCATTAGCTTATACACTGTTTGCGGCTAAGTGCGGAGAACCAGGTGATCATGCACCAACAAAGTAATTAATGAACTGTAATCTATCTTGATTGATACACTTCTTATCAGTTTGGTTGTTATCATGAAGGAAAATAAAGTACAACCTTAGTAAATAATTCTTATATTGAAAACTGTACAAATAAAATAAATGTACCTATATTCTTTTCCGAGTGAATCTTGAGGGCAAACGCAGCTGATGGTTTCAGAATGGGAAATTATTTCTAAACAAAATAGCAACCATAAAATAGAATAAATGAATTGGAATACTCACAATTATACGACAACAGGCTTTGGCAATAAAGCCCTAAGCAGTTTCTTGTACTTCAGTAATAAGCTGTTGATACTATAGCAAACCGTTGACGATGACGACGGTGATAATATTGAATTGAGATGTCTTCTCCCCTAACGGGTTTAATCATAACGATCTTCCTTCAGGATATCTTGTCTTTATCGAATGTGGCGGCGATCGATGTGTATTGTTTCGAACATCCATCGATGACCTCTCTCTTTTTAAGACCAAATCCTATTTGTCGTGCGCCCTGCGCAGACTACATGTAAGTACAAAGGCAACATACACTATAGTTAAACTACTCTATACAAAGTAATCAGTCGCCTAAGGGTTAGGCATCCAAACATGTACATATCTGTTACGTCATGTAACTAGATAGTCACGCCGCCACTGGTATCGCTTGCAGGTTATATCACTTGCTTACTGTAATCGAGAAATTATCAATGAAAAGAAGTATAAAGCAGTATTTTATTGATGCACAAAAATATAGGACAATTGTAAGGTTATGAAAATGAAGACCTTAGAAGTGTTTTATTAACTACCATGAAGATTTAATTAAATTTAGCCAAACCAAACAACGTGCCGTTTTTTATCTTGCCTATGAAACGATATTCCTGCTGGATAACGACCACTGCAACTTTTACAGTTGTACGCAGAACAATTCACCACGTTTATATCACACAGTTTTGTACACACAAACTTTATCAATAATGAAGAAATGTCAATAAATTCACACTGCCACCACGCTTTGACTGCCACCGAAAATATGGCGGTCGCCTCGAAATTCGCGTCAAATTCACGCATGCAGTGGATGCGGTATTACGGGTCCCCTCTCTTTCCTTGTCTAAGCTATAACTAAACGCAGCTGACGTTTTTATCTCCATGGCGTCACAAGAATCACCGCCAAATTTGAAAATGACATACGCTTCATACTTGAATTAGAAGTGCCATTGCAATTACTCAATTTGTGTGTAATAATGATGGATAAATAACTTAGGTGGCAATCCTCGGAAGTGTCATTTGTAATAGATGTGTTCCAAAGTGTTTCTTAATATTGGCTACGCAGTACGCGCATTTTGTATTCATGTGTGCACAAGTGCATAATTATACTGTAGGCACATTTGATGTCTTGTTTTACATCTCTGTAAGTTTTCTGCTTCAACAAAAAGTGGATTTTGAAACTGGATTTATAATTGATTGTAAAATCCCACAATGCACATTGTATAAACCTGGAATTCTTGTGTGTATTAGCATATGCTTTTTTAAACTGCATTTATAGTTGCATAGTCACACTGGACACACTTTAAGTCCTTGGAACTTTTGTGCATTAAGAGATGCTTTTTGAAACTCGATTTATAATTGTAATTATAGTTGCAACATATTGCACTGGACACATTTTAAATCCTTGGAAATCTTGTGTGACAACAGATCAAGATGAACTCTTTATTGCTGGTTGAGTAATCATACTGAATGCATCTCGGAATGCATTTAGAAATAAATATCAGGCAACAGAGAAGCTAAACGTAACACATACTTATTTCAGAAATTTAATCAGCCTTTTAAGTTTTATTTATTGCCGCTAAAGGTCTCGTACTTATTTGAAAAGGCTAATATAATTTTTACTTTTTTTACTTTACATATTTTATTGTAACTTTAAATATTTGTATTGATAACATGCAATAATTGATACTTTCTAAGTTTAATGTGAGAAACTTGACGCAGTTGACATGGATTGAACAAATCTTATCACATCCGTAAAGGGGATACACTTTTATTAAGCTGGTAGGGCTACACAAACCCCATTACTTTATTGAACGGTAGAGCCCAGTTATCCCAATGACGTCACGCATAAGCATACCTTGTCTTATTGTACCATGGTTACTATATACATTGAATTTCTGGTAGGAAAATTTCTGCCCGGATACTGACGAGGGTTGTATAAATTTCACAGAGGTCGGTCCTAGGGCCTACTCTGTGGAATGCGATGTACGACGGGGTGCTGAGGCTTTGGTATCCTGCAAGGGTTGAGGTCATCGGCTTTGTCGACAATCTCACAGTTACAGTGCGCAATCGAAACGTAAGGTTAAGCCGCAATGGACGACGTTTTGATGATCGCCGGCATTGGAATGGAGTAGGACCTGGTGCACGGTACCTACGTTAGAATATGAAAGTCGAGGTGGAAAGTAACACTAGAAGAAAATGTGCACAAGTAACTAAGGTTAACAACGGGTGCGCTAACACTGACTCACCAACACCACTCAACCTGAAGTAATGCATACGCGGTTTGGGGTGGGGATGGAAGTTTTGGTTAACAGGAGAAAGGTTTTAGTGGGTGGAAGTCCCACACTACCCCCGCTATAGAGCGAAGCAAGGGTATCCGTACGGATTTCAATATCAAAATATCATCTATGTATATATGTTTTCAAAACTGGTCACAATCATGACCCAATATTTGGGTTAAATTACACCGATCAACAAAAAAATAATTTTTTTGCGCATGGGATTTACATAATACATTTTGACTATAATAAGCAAACATAAATAAAAAGTGCGATTGGGCATCGAAAATATTGGCTTTTACAAAAGTTGTAGCGATTTGATTGAAAGCTTTCATGGGCGAATTAAAGCTGGAATCTTTGTTTTCCCTCAAATAAAAAGAAATATGGAGTGTGATATTTTCCCGCGGATACTTAGCAAAGAGGAGAAAAAATCCTGGAACAGTTTTAAGGCAGTAGCCCATGACTTCCCGTTCAGTGTTTCCTGGGAAACCATAAGGTGAACATTATGACAAGCTGACCGGATTTGGTTTTGCATTATCAAGTATAGAGTGTCTGTAAAGATGCACAGGTTACATTTAGATCAATTTAAGGATAATATGGGAGCTTATTCGGTATTCGGAAGAACAAGGGGAACATTTTCAAGACATAATTATAATTGAATTAAATGAACGCGCGTGCATCTGCATGCGTAAATGGAAGACAGACACAGACGCAGAAACTTGTCTTAAACAAATGCGATCTAAGTCACCTTGTATTAAAATTGTGCAAAAAATAACAAATAACTTTAAACACACAACATTTATTTCAATAAATGCTCGAATTGCCTTCCGTCTGCTTCCATGCCATAATAAAGATTTGCTTCAAAACGCCGCCGTACATGTTGCAAGATTTCAGGGGTAATCGCTCGAAATTGTTAAGTTATACCATAGTGTATTCTATTCTTACACTATGGTTATACGTGCTCGCAACACTTGTAATGTTCCGGGCGGAGTAGCATAAACTTTATTCGTTAAATATACCCACAAGAAGTAATCTGAAGGACTTAAATCAGAGGAAAGAAAACCATTTCAAATGCGAATATCTCCGAAACGAATCAATAGAATTTAACAAGCAAAGCAGATTAGTAATCACGATTAAATTGGCTTTCAAATAATGTGCCATTTGCCATAGGATTCCATTTAAACTTTTAGGGGCTAAGCTCCCTACGTAGAGCGGTGAAGACTTGGGCTCGTGATTTGTATTCCAAAAGTTGTCCCCTTCGAATACAAAATTGACGTGTACGAGGATTTTTCGAAATTTCTAAATTTAATACTCTAAAAGCCCTCTGTATACTTCTCGTTGGGCCACTCTGTATATACATGTTTAATAATAATGTGTAGTTTTAAACGGCCCTACAAATCAGCGCAAAATGATATATTGTCGAATTTGTGGAACATGTCACAATATTTCAAGCAAGTCATAATCATCTGGCAAAGAAATTCTGGAGTCAGTCTACAGTTTATACAAACTCAAAAGTAGCAAGCCAAGCAATTTTGTGAACGATAGAAGAATTACTTACTCGTTAATTTACTAGTGCTCTTTCCTTTCACTGTGATGATTTTAATAGAGTCCATCAATTGTAAGGTCATAAAAGCATTTCCTGCATAAATCGGTCTAACAAAAGTGTCTCGATCTTTTACATCAACAATGTCAGTAATAGCAGGCACGTCTAATTTCACTGCAACCCTCGGTAAAACCGAATTGCCTAGTTTTGAAGAATTTGCAAATATGTGCGTCATATGGAATTTTTCTTGTGTGGCCAGTATCGTTTCGGTTAGATTCTCTTCAGGAAAACCGTCATGCGTTACGTTTTCTGCTGTGAGTACTCGCGCAACTTCTTGACGAGTGGATAGATATTTGGCAACAGGAAATGTATTGGTTCCTGGTAAAAGTACAACTAGATGGTTGTCGACCTTTGTAGCAGCTTCAATCGTGTTTATAGTCGTTGGTTTCAATTCTCTTGTGTTGTGTTCAGCTACCACAAGGACACATGTTTGTCGTACGGGTTTAGTAGCCGCGGTCACAACAGATAAGAGTTTTGAACACTGACACCACATCTTTGAAACGTTAAAACGAAATTTCTGTCAAATATGGCAATTTTGACACACACTAAACTTCCTTTATCAAAGACGTCAGCTAAAAACGTTGAGCTACGATGATCTAGTCTAGAAGGAATTACTAAATGTAGAGAGTTCGTATCAAATACTGTCATTTAAGTTTTGCGGTCATTAAAGGTGTCAATAAAATCTCATACTATACGCACAGAGTTGTCTTATATACAACTCTGTGACTATACGGTTTTCTTGATTATTTTGGTGGTGGTGTTTTGAAGGTGTATTTGCAGGTAGTAACCTTTTTATTCTTTCTTGTACTAGCTATTTAATCATTGAATTTCTTACCACAATTTGATATTATTTACATTTTGCTGATTTTGCATAAACTACGATATCTAAATCATGGCGTCCTCCATGTCTTTGTTTCGAGTACCGGTAGATGAATCGTGTTTGTTATACTGTACAGATGATTATGCCAGTATTTTGTTTAATTAAGTATTTATTTCTGTATTCACGAGGAGTTGATTATCAGTGCGATGTTGCTTTGTTCGATTGACCCGTAACTATTCCGTGAGGAAAGCACCCAGTACAGTTTGATTGTTCGTTATATGTGTTACTTTCTGATCCGCGGCGCGCTGCAGTTCTTGTGCGTTAGCTATACGAAGGGGGGCTCTTTTAGTTGATGTTTCGATGTTTGTATGTGCGAGTGGGTCATTCTGTTTCCGTGGAGTAGGTACCTAATACAGTTCGACCTTTCGCTGTATCTGTTGCCTACTCGTCTCGTGCAGATTGTAGTTCTTAACATCTTAGCAATACGAGTAGGGACCCTCTCATTAACATTTCCACTATTTAAAATATGTTCTGCTTGAGCGATAATCGATTTTCACATGAATACTTGCTATTGGCCAATGCCATTCTCACATGCACTTTTCGTGTTAAATTAAATTATGTTAACTGAAGGATGCAGTAGAGCCACACCATTTACATGTTTCCTATGTACATGAAATTTGTTTATTTGACGAGTTGTGTTATCTCTATTGATCGTACAGGTATTTTGATGTGTTTTTGTACTGAATTGATTTATTTTCAAACGTCGTTTAACTGTAGTTATAGCGACAGTTTTATGAAGGTTTAAGTGTCACTTTTTTGACACCTATTTTGAGCGGCGTATAAGTGTTATACTCCGGCGGCGTGTAACATTTATACGCCACTCTAGTGAAAACAAAATACACACTTAGCATTTACGTCCACGAACTTTATATTTCTATTTATCAAATCAAACAAAACTATACCTTTTCTGCAGAAAATTCTACTTGACGTTAAAATTAAACGTGCAATTATTTCAAGTGGCATTTTGTAACATTGGGCTTGTATTGGGTTCTGAAATCTTCCCGAAATCTTTATGAATTTTCACTGTATCATGCAAAAGGATCTTGGTGACAATGTCTTCTTTATTCTATAACGATTCTTCGATAGGTACCCTGCAGCAACTGCATCAGATTTCCACCCTCCATGTTTGTGTTAAACAGGTAATATCACCTCTGCAATCTGCCAACACAGTTGAAGAAGTCCTCCTCAAGAAATGACCAGTACATTCCTTCCCATTTGGTATCTTGAAGTATATAGGACCATCTCGGTACCGTAGATCGTAGATAACTGCTTTACAAAAATCGAAAATTGTCAAGAGTACTTTAGTGAAATTGTCATTTTGAGTTATACTGTAGTCATGGATACAAAGCAATGTTATGCTGATATTATTTGCGGTACCTATTGCGTGCATCTTTACCCATTTCCTACATTATATGTAAATGACGTTTGAAAATAAAATATAGTATTTCATTCGAAGTATAAGTTACTTTATGTGATTCGTATGAATTTAACTCGCCTCGCTACGCTCGGCGTTTAAACTTTCATACTCAGTCACATAAAGTGTAACTTATACTCCTAATAAAATAAATATCTATTATCATGTTTTCCACTGCATTTATGATGTCTTGTGTATTTTGTTTTTATGAACTTGTTTAATTGCATTTGATTTGATTATCTGATTTTTATCATACCATTTGAGATGTTTTATTTATGTGTATTTTCTCTTGCATTTTATTGCTGTAGGTGATTTATTTCATGTATTTGTGTGGCCTGTGCCAGGGTTTTACTCCCGTAGAAGGTTTCCCTGGCATGGTCTTGTGTGTGCGTTAATATATTTATTTGATCTTGTCATTTCTTGCGCACAAAAGTTCTGTCTTTTATTTAATTCCCTTCCCGATTATGTCTCACGTCCCAACACATAAAAGAACCCGTAGGAGTCCATTCGTGCCACCCAAATTCAAAAGTGCTGCGAAACTACTTTCGTTTCGACTTGAAAGGTAGGTGCTTGTAGTTTTTGCCAGAGTTGCCAACCGTAAGTATAGGGTAAGTCAACGTTTTCCGTGTCTGCTTGATAGACCCCCCTAGGAACATTACAGTGTTACGCCCACCATTACTAATATAATCACCCGCCAAAACAGAGACGCGCCAAACCTTACAGGCACCCGTTTACGAATAACCCGCAGCAGCCGCGAGAGTACGGAGCGCGCGATCTACCCCAAGATGTTGATGCCCGCGCACCCACTACTTTAACCCCGCGCTAGAGGACGACACCTGAAAACCTACCACTTGCAAATACGCACGACTAGTATAAGAAACTTCGCCACCCTTCCATTGGCATCTTCTCTCGCAAGATCGCATCTGAGCATAAACGTTCAGAACAACTTTACCACCGCTTTCCCCTTGCTTTTTCTTGTAAGAACAAGGGCGATCGTGGAATTAAATACAAGTGCGCTGTTACCAGTGTGTGACGTGTACATAGACATTTATTCTTAGCTCACGAACCCCATATACTTTTGTTTTGTTGTACATATGTGTATATAGTTTTATGTTCTAGCTCTTAATAAAGTGCGAGTTCTGTAACGTGTACATATTATTACTCAATACGAGACCAACAAGTGGCGCCCAACCAGTGGTGCTAAGAAAAGTCAAAACGCCTCCCACAACAAGAAGCAATGCCAAGAAAATGTCAGACTCCAACAGCACACCTTTCATCATGACCAGCGACATGTTAAAGGAGCTGATCCAATCCCTCGACTCCACCAGGACGACCTACAGCGGATCCTTTGCCAAGTGCACCGCCAGATTCGACGGGAAAGGTGACGCCGAAGCATTCGTGTACAGCATCACCACCTACAAGAGTTGCACGGCCATCTCCGAGGAAAATGCGCTGACAGGTATGTCAATGTTATTAGAAGGAGATGCAGCTACTTGGTGGCAAGGGGTGAAGCGGACAGTCAGCAAATGGGACGACGCCACCGCCCTTCTGCTCAAAACGTTCGGTCCAACCAAACCACCACACCGGCTCTTCCGAGACCTCTTCGACGGCGAACAAGGACCAAACGACCCCACCGAACTCTTCATAGCGAAGAAGAGGGCCATCCTGTCACACATTGAGGAGGAAATCAGCGAATCCATACAACTACACATGGTGTACGGTCTGCTACACCGCAGGATCCGGAAGAAGATCCCAAGATCAACATTCACCACCTTCGAAGAACTCCAGCGCGAGCTGAGGAAGGTAGAAGAGGTCGATCCACCACCCACCAAGAACGAGACCCAATCCCAGGGAACGACGAAGAAGGCGCGATGTGCTTACTGCAAGCACGTGGGACATACACGGGAAGACTGCCGAAAGAGGAAGCGAGCAGAAGAAGCTGCACCATCCGCACCAACCCCCTCGTCAGCTCCAGTCTCCACACCACCCACCACCAGGTCGTCCGCCTCCACCCTCGCATGCTTTGGATGCGGAAAACCCGGAGTAATACGCAGCCAATGCCCGAACTGCCAAGAACGCACAGGCATTGCGCCAGTGGATTTCTTTCTAACGGACACAAGCAACCCCTCACCGCCGCGTGTGCGCCCCATTGTAAGCATTACCATCGCGGGTGCAACTGGAAGTGCGTACATTGACACAGGTGCGCGACAATGTATCGCGGGGGCGGGACACACTTTATATAGTACCCTCTGTGCCGCGAATTGTGATTTTGTGCCACGTGACGTGAACTTAGTGTTGGCTGACGGCAAACCAAGACCCACCACCGTCTTAACCACCACAGTGCCAGTTACCCTAGTGGACCGGGTGATACACACCGAATTCCTAGTCCTCCCAGGAGCCCGAAATCGCACCCTCCTCGGGGTAGATTTCATAGAAGATGCGAGAATACTTCTAAACCTACCAGAAAGACACTGGACATTCATCGGCGACCCGCGCCAACATCCTTTTCAACCGGAGCCGGCTGCCCACTTCTTTTCGGCTTTCGCGCCTACACCGTACAGCACACCAACTATTCCAACCCAGGTACCGGAGAGCAGCCACCCAACAGACCCAAGACGACGGGCCTACCGAAACATCCACCTGTTTGGAAGGAGTCCAAACCGCCCTAGCCGCCCGGAGACACCCCACAACTGGGAAGACTCCATAAGCGCCGAACTATACAGCATATTCGCAGATACGCTACCCGTGCAGCCTGCCACGCCATTACAACCTCTCCCGCCGCCGACGATCTTTCCCCATTCACCCAAGAAGAGAGCCAGACGCACCGTCTCCCTCTACATGGTAGAGGCAGAAGGCATTCACCTACGGGCCGACGAGGCCACCCACCTCTCGAGGAACGAGCAAGACCAACTCAACGTCATGCTCCAGAGAAACGAGGATGTCTTCTCTGCAGGGGGAGCCCCGACACCATTGGCCCTCCACACGATTAACACGAAGCCCTGCCAACCGGTAGCATCGCCGCCATACCGAATAAACGCCGCCAAGCAACAAATCCTGCAGGCCGAGTTGTCGCACATGCTCGACAACGACATAATAGAAGAGTGCGAGTCCGCATGGGCCTCGCCAGTGGTGCTGGTGCCCAAACCAGACGGGTCCACTCGTCTATGCATTGACTATCGAAAGCTAAATGCTGTCACAATCCCCGACAATTATCCTCTGCCACGCATGGACGACCTGCTCCACGCCGCCCG